CCCCCGGGAGGTGTTAAAGGCCAAGTCATACAGAGCCTTGAGTAGCCTGATCTAGTTGAGAGGTGTCCCTGCCCATGAAAGGGAGGTTGGATTAGATGATCTCTAAGGTCCCTTCCAGCCTAGCCCACTCTATGATTCTATACTAGGTCATCTGGTTCAGTCCCGTTCTATGATTCTATGATTCTTCCAAAAGCTAGAGGAGCTGATTTGGTTTCATGGACTACAGCATTACTTCTGGGGATGCAAAACAAGCCTGCAACTTTTTTGTTGGAACTAAAATGGTGGTAGACTGTTCCCTGTGAGATTTTTCTATGTAGACATTAGCACATAAACTCTAATTAGTTGTCCCTTTCCATTCCTTCCTGCTTCTCTCAAGTCTGCTCTCACTCTAGACTCACCTCTGTCTTTCCACAGTCCCTCACCCACCCCACTGTATCTTTTCTTGCCATTTCTCTCCATACCTGAGCTACTGTGTAGTCCTTCTCCTCCAGTCGATCTCTGATTATTCGGATTAAAGGACCAATGTTATAGAACTCGGCTTCTTCTAGCACCCCTGAGAAAGACAGAACAACCACAAAGACAGAAAGTTAACAGCCTGTCTTTTGTTTTTCAGCTTGCAAAAGATTAATTCTGAGATTTCCAAGGTCCATAGGGAGAAATGACACTGTAGCCTCTTTTTAACAGGTTTCTATTGCTTGAAACAAGTCCTGCAGAGAATTGAACCCTGGCTCTCTGCACTATATTTCTAACACTCACTTCAATTTCCTTATGTGGCCTCCTACTACAGAAACGGCCACTGCCAGCAAAGGTTTGTGCCGAGGACTGCTAACACCTTCCTAAATAACTGTCCAAGGAGCGTAGACGTAGGCTCCAGCCTCCCTCAATGACCAGGAGTTATTGCTTTATTCAGGCCCTCCTCTTAACACAAAGAACAACAATTTGTTCTGACCTTGTCACCGAAAGAACATAAAAAATCACAACTTTCCTCCTGGGCCAGGCAGACCTGCATCCACCTTGCAGCATCATATGACTCCATGTGACCTTCAGCTCTCTCCCCTGCGCTTCTGCCTCAGAGCAGATAAGCAGAGAAATGTCTGGGGTTTTTTCTGTATGGTATCCGCATCTGTCACCTCCCCCAAGACTCACCTGTTTGCTAAGAGGCCTTCAGGGAAAGGGCCAACAAGGGAAAGACTGCTAGCAGCCAACGCCCACATGTCCCCAGACAATGCAGTTGGGAAGACTGATCCTTCACTACCTGACACACCTGGATTTCTTCTGAGTCCCTCATTCAGCTGTGAATCATCTAATGTGTCAGTTTCATGCCAGCCTGAGTGTCTGAAGCAGGAATAAAAGGAAATGTTAAGCTATGAACAGGACTCCTGTTTCCATTTCAGATTTGATATTAAAACCTGTGGACGAACTCTGTCTGACCTCAGGATTACAAGAAATGTCAGGTAGGAAATACCTCAGAATTGTGTTTAATTATAATTCTGTACCATTGCCTTCACATATTTTAGGAATTATATCTCATAGGATGATTCTGAAGAAAACTCCTTGCATTAGGTAAAAATATGCAAGAGAGAGGCGAGAAGACTAATGAACACGCAGAAACTGTGCTTGGCAAGGGCTGGACAGCACAGCCTATCTTTAGAATTGGCTCCTTGTTAGACTCCAGCATCCAAAAAAGAATGAGGCATTGGGGACTGCTGGCTGGTTACACCGTGTTGTTACCAAGTTATCCTATTTTGACTCCCTGTCAACCTCAAATGAGAGATCAGTTTGTCTGGCTTCCTCCACTGGAAATGCTGCAGTCCACAACCCATCAAAGCTCTAGTAGCACAGATTGCATATCACTGATTAATGAAGGTCTTTATTACAGTCAGTAGAAGAGATGAGTTTGGTTTTGTTTGGTCTTCTGGGGTTTTTTTCCTAATTAGAAACACTCAGTCATTAACAGAAAACTCACTCATAGAGCCTGGTTAAAAGTGTAACAGGAACAAGTAAAAAAAAAAATGGTTTATTGGGAGCTCTTGCCTACTTCTGACTTGGTGCCATCTCTGCTGATCGAACAGTCGTGAAGCCACAACACCAGTAGGATGCCTTCCTCACCTACTTCAAACCCCTTTAGTATGTGAAACACCAGTATGCTTTCCAAGAGCTGCAGGGATAGCCCTCTCAAATGCCCCCACATCAACGTCCAGAAACAGAATGGGAGACAATAAGGTCAACAGCAAGTTCTACTTTGTCCTGGCTATAGCAGCGATGTTAACTGGGAAGTTTCTGATCTCCAAAACTCACCCTCTTCAGCCATATCTTTATCCAAGACCAACTTCCCATGACGGAGGAAATTCAGGATAGGTCCAAAGTAGGTGGGGTCCCGGTCTATTAGGTATGCACCAGTCTCATCCTAGCAACAGAGACAGACCATGAGGAGAAAAAACCCATAGGAAGCTTGTAATCAGCCCTCAGATGCTCCAGTCTATAAGAAAATACAAACCTATGCAAAAATACCCACTATTTCTAAAACTCCTTGGAAACCACGGGCCTCCGAGAGTCCCTAGCCAAGTAAGCCCAGCCTGGATTTTAACTCCTGTATTGGTATGCTCAGTGTGCCCACTTCAGCACAGACCAACCAAGCTGACAAAGCAAAAAAAAAAAAAGGCCTGTTTCCTTCTGCAACAGGCCTGGTGTGAGGTGAGAGAGCAGAGAGCCCCTTTACGGGGGGCAAGGCTGAGTTGGACAGATACAGCTGGGAGGTCGACCCAGCGGGTGTGGGTGACAGAGAGGCGGGAGAGCAGGGGCTGAGGGGAGATGGCCTCTGTTTTCCCCACTCGGGAAGACTTGCGAGGCTACAATGCAGCAAGGTGGGATTTGCCAAGGGGAAATCCTTCTGGGAAGAGAGGGGAGAAAGAGCACACACGGTTACTCCTACAGCTGTCGGGGTCCGGCTCCATCCCTGCCGCCCTGCAGCCCTCCGCAGGGCACGGTGCGGGAGGCAACCCAGCTGCCTTACCCGGTCCGACTGCAGCTCCTCGCCCTGGCACAAGCGACACAGGAAAGATTTCTGCTCCCGACAAAGGGTCTGCCTGGTGGTGAGGAACACGGTGCCCCCCACATTGAGCCTCACCCACTTGGCCTGGGTGCTAGCGGCTGGCGTGATGTCCCAGCTGCAGCGTAGCCCCACGGCGCCCTGCATCTCCTCCCCGCTCTCCATCCTCATCCTCATCCCCCCACCTCTGCGACGTGCGGGCACTGCCGCAGATGCTGCCTGTCGGAGAATGCCGGGAGCTGTAGTTTATTTTGCTTGTCTCTCCGCGGCAGCAGCTATGTTTCCTGGGGGCCGGGGTCGTCCCTGTGACCCCCGAAGGAGTCCCCAGGGGAGGAAGGAGGCTCTGTGACCATTAGGGCTGGGCAAAACCACAGCTCCCACAGCGTTGACACTCCCCGGTTTCTCCCTTGTTGCCGTTTTTCCCCAACCAAGGGCCGGCCAGCACTTCGGAGGTGCAGGGCGTTATGCAAAAACTGGCATTTAGTCCCACAGGCATCGTCTCTGGCTCCTTGCAAGGTTCTGGGAGCTGTAGTTTGCGGGGACGTGCACAAAAGGGTGCTGGGAACTGTAGTTTTCCCAGCCTGCTGTCACTGCAGGGAGGATGCTGTAATGAAGGTGGCCGCGCTGCGCTAGAGAACCCCAGCCCTGCGGCTGACAACCTGCCTGCTTCCAGCCCTGGGTCTTGCCTGCAAGCTTCCTCGGAGGCGGGAAGAACAACCTGCTCGCCGGCAGTCAGCAGATCGAGCCCATCAGCACGGTGCTCCAGAGCTTTCCCTGCAGGAGATTTCATTACCCCCGGCTCACAGCTTGATGCTGCAATTGGTTGCCACGCTCTTCTTGCCGCAAAATGTGCAGAGAGTTGCCTTCTCGCAAACATATGTAGGGACGCTTCTGGGAACCGTATCTTGGATCTGCATGAAGTGCTGGCAGGGGGCAGGAATTTTTCTTTCAGTTCGGAAGAGTCGCTGACTCAGCAAACTCCCCCCTCCCTGCTTCCCGTGCTGCGCTGCCAGCACAAACCAGGCAAGAGACCCCTCCTGCGTCGTTCCCCCATGCTCCTGCCAGCCCTGTTTGTGTCTGAGCAACAGACACCTCAGCTTTTAACTTAGCTCCGTGTGGAGTTTTACCTCTGCCCTAGGCACGTATGTCCCGCTGAGGGCGATGTGTCAATCTCCAGCCCTGCCGAGCCCAATCTCAGCCCTGCTGCCTCCTGCCACTCGCTTCTGGAGCTCAGCGACTCACGTCCCACAGGACTCTGGCTCAGAGCGCTCCTTGGCACCAACACAAACTGAACAAGCTCTCTCTCCAGCAGCACTGCTTTTCCCACTTGCTCCTAAGTGTGGCTGCGCTTGCCAGCAGCTCGAGCGTATCAGGAACAGAAAGGAAAGGCTGATGTTTCACCTGAATGGGGCCCAAAGCCTTCGTTCACCTAAGCAACTTTCTGGCTCTTCCTTGCCAGGGCAATGCAGCACTGCAGAGACACGGTGGTGCCTTGCTGACGCTTAGTTGTTCTCACACCTACATCTTCGTGTCTTTTGAGGTGGAGGTTTATGGGGAGGAAGAGGCTGGAAAAAGAGAAACATTATGTTTTACTCTTTACATTCATTTGCTTCTCGTCCTTCCCTAATCTTTTATTTGCAAATCACTCCCTTTTAACAGTAGAGGACCTCACCCTTTCCCCAAATCACCCAGGACCTCCTTCATAAAGGCGGAATGTGTACTTTGCTCCTTCTGAGGAGGAGTGCAAAGGGGAGGCGGGGAAAAGAGGGTAACAGGGAAAAGGTTTCAAGATTGCTGACCTCCACCTAATTTAAACACAGGAACAATTCAGCTGCTGCAGGGTATAAATTCAAATGGATCTCTGGATCTCCTTGAATTTATACCAGGAGCTGGCTGGCACTAGAGTGACCAATGGCAGGGAGAGGACGGAAAATTATTTTTGCCTACCTAGACGAATAAGATTTTGGATCAGATTAGTGCCCAGACCTTCGACCAGCCTCCACTGAGCAGTGGTGTGCATCAAAGACGCGCAGACTAACACTGACCTGACCTGACGCATCACCACATGGTGCAGCACAGCTCTGGGCTGTGCTGTGACTCTTGCCCTCCTACTTCTGGCTCCATGTCAAACCATGGCAAACCCAAGAGCTCTGCCCTGCACTCAGGCGTGCAAGGGATGCAGGACCCTGTCTGTGTTGGCTCCAGCAGGAAATTAGGGTGAGTCCTGTGTCTCTATGATATGAACACAGCAGTGGGGTGGCAACCTATAGCCCCTTATCTGCCCCTCCAACCGCCTCAGTTCTCTTCCTTCTTCTACGAAAGGTTCTACCCTGTCTCCCTTTCCTCCTCTCACAGCCCCTCAGCCTCTTGCTCCAGGTTGACCTCCTGTTCCCGACATCTTCCCCAACCTCTCTCAAGCCGATGCCGCTCATGGGTCAGGGGCGGTCTGTATTCAGAGCACACCTTCTGCCATCAACACCAGGCTCCACCTGCGGCCAGCACTTCCAGTCTTGCTCACCCCAGGGCCACAGTGTGAAAGGTTAGTTGGTAAATCTAAAGAGGTATACTATGAACAAGCAAAGAGGTCAAGGTACACCACTCCCATCCACAGAGCCTTCTTTTCTGTGACATACAGCACAAAATATATTGGAAATTCCCTAGTGTAAGGCGTTCCCCACAGTATGTGAAAAACCTCTTAAGGAAGAAGTCAGTCTGGGGAGAATTACCAACTGAAATGCTATGATGAGTCAGTGGCGTGAGCTAAATACAGGCCTGATTTGCACATCATCCCCAGACATAGTTCTGGGATGCAAGTAGCATGCTCCTGTTAAGGTCCATTTAAATCAAGCAACAGAACAGAGAAGAAATAGATTTAAATAATTCAGTGGCTGTTCCTCCTGCTTTGATGATGACTGCATATAAAATCCATGCACAGAAACAGAGAGACAGGAGCAAGCAAGAGCTTACATGGGGCAGTGCAATTGCGTAACACCGTACAGCCCTGCTGAGTGCCCAGTTCAACCATGGGGACAATTGCACAGACAGATGACAGGCAGGAGAAACCAGACAGCCATGGCACTGAGAGGTGATGGGGTTGAACAAGAGCTGAGGAAAACAGAGTAGGAGGTAAACGGGGAGTTTCTTAGTTCAGCAGCCAAACCTGCAGAAAGCTACACACATTGCAGCACACCCTTGTGCACATTTCAGCCTGACGAGTCACCTGGGTGTGCAGTGCACAAGGCGTTGGTTACGGAGCTGCTCTTGGGGAATTGTGCTGCAAAGCAGCAGTGGGAACAGGGATCACCATGGATTGGCATGGACAGCTTCACCGCTCTGGCAGGCTGCAAACACATGTCCGGGATGAAACCTGTGCAATCATTTAGTTAATGAACACACTGCAACATGAGGCACGAGCGAAGAAACGACTCTCCTCTCTCCTCTCCGTAGGAAGCCAGGAGGGGAGGACAAGTATTGCCACCAAGCCACAGGGAACTGGGAAAACTCCCTACACTTAGGGGTGGGAAGGTGACAGTTCACTTGTGGCCAACAAAGCCCAGCTCAACTGGCAGCTGAGCCCAGCATATTGGAGCAGGAAGAGAAACACCCCACAGCGTGCAGGTGAGCTAGTCTTTCTCCAGCTCCTTGCTCGGTCTGCAAGCAATGCACCTGCATCCAAACCAGCATGTAAAGTCTACCATGTATGCACATCACTCAGAACTTCTGCAGGAAGAGTGCTGGGAGGAGGAGAGAGAACAGTCACATAGCACCTGGTCACAAGCTGAGATCAGGTAGAGATCGGAGGAAGAGGGGTGGGTGTCAAGAGGAAGGAGACAATCTCTTCTCAGTGGTGCCCAGCAATAGAACAAGAAATAATGGGTCTAAGTTAGAACATAGGAAGTTCCACCTCAACATGAGGAGAAACTTCTTTACTGTGAGGGTGACAGAGCACTGGCACAGGGTGCCCAGAGAGGTTGAGTCTCCTTTTCTGGAGACTTTCAAAACCTACCTGGACGCATTCCTGTGTGGCTGCCCTAGGGGATCCTGCTCTGGCAGGGAGGTTGGACTAGATGATCTCTAGAGGTCCCTTCCAACCCCGAACATTCTATGATTCTCTGATTGTATGAAAAAACCCTGTAGGTAGCAGCAATTACCATCGCTCATGCAGTGGCCATCAGCACAGAGGGACAGTGGTGCTGTCAAAGAAGGTCTGCTTTGGAATTTGAGAAAGTTTCAGTGGAACGAAAGGTTTGCTGGAAAGAAAAGTGTGAAACAGTGCAACTTGCCTGCTAGGCACCAGTAGGGAAGGAAGACGAAGGCAGGGGATGAAGACAACATGTGAGGAACAAGGGGCTGTGGGATTACTTTCGGAGAACCATTGACCAGATTGTTTTCATGGAGTCTAAAATTGCTTCAGGTCAAATATTTTCAGAAATGTATTCAGATCATAAAATACACCAAGAAACCAAAAAAGGGTTTACATGCTGGCCTGGGCTTCTCAAATTTAAAGAGAGAGCTGTAAAAGCTCCAGTCTCAAGTCAGCCACAGGTCAATGTGATCATCTTCCTACATCAGGGCTTTTTAGGCTACCTTTTGGCCACGTGAGCCCCATTCCACCAAAGATATGCTATTCCCCTTTCCCTGTGGCAAATTTTCCACAAAAGGGTCATGAACACTACTTGGTTTACTTTCATATTCGCTGTTCCCCTTCCCAGTTTCCAGTTCCCATAGGAAACCCACCCACTGAGTTCAGGACATAAAGATCTGCATAACATTTATAGTCCTGGTGCAAGTCCCCTCAGCTGCTCCATATGTCCAGTAGCATCTGTTATGGCTCAAAATAGGTTTCTGCAGTCTCCAGGCTTTGAAAACATTGTCTCAGTCTCCAAGATGTTCCCAGTGTTTTGCCTGCAGTGTGAGAACAGATCTCAGCTAAAAGGAGGGAGAACATCAGAAGATCCTCTTTAGACAGATTTTTGATATGTAATGTAACAGGGCATACCTGAGAAAGACAAAGGGTCTTGTCGTGGGGAGGAAGTTCTCAAATCTCAGTTTCAATCACCTGTGTTGCTCAGATGGGGAGGCCCCTCCACAGAGTTTAACACTCCTTGCTGTTCCCAGCCAGGACCCCCAGCCAGGGCTTAGCCTTTTGGTTTTTGTGTCAAAAACATACGTCAGCTTAAAAAGTTCCTTTTTAAGTGCTCTCAGTTACAGCCCACAATTGGATATCCTACAAGACGTGTGACTAGTTCTTCGCTTTGCCCCGCAGGAAACAGTTGCTAGAAAATTACCCCACCTGGCATAAAGCAAGATGCTGCTGCCAGCCTTTAAAAAAACCAGCGATTACCTGCGTGGGGAAATTCATAAAGTATGGGAGCAGAAAACCTTTCCCTCCCAGCAAGGAGAAGAAAATTAAACCATCAATTAGATTCAGAACTGAAAGTCTTAACGATCTGCAGGCCATGCCGTAACCCACAAATGAGGTCCTTTTGGGAAGTCCAAGCCCAAAGAATTAAATGGAAGCTGGCAAACATAAATGTTTACTATTTTATCCAGATCTGTGTTTAGCACTGCGTTCTAAAGAGTCACTCATTTCAGACCCCTGCACGCTCCGTATACTCAGCATCGGCTGTGCTGTGAGCTCCGAGGCCCTGAAGAGCCGGGTTGTTAGACCGGATGCAAGCAGGGAAGCTGAAGGCTTTCAGTCACTGGAAATGGGTCAAAAGAAGGGTCAGGCTGCACGTGTGGGTGGGGAAGACAGAGGAAGAAATCATCTGGACGGTGAAACTCTGGCTCCAGAGGAGGTGAGCAGAAATGGAGCTCATGTGCATGCAAGCCAAGTGCAGGAAGAAGCCAGGGCTGCAGCCAGAGAGAGGCTGAAGGAAATGCAAGGAATAATTTCTCTCCAACAGGAAAGGATCCAGCCCTAGTAATTCAGTGGGCACCCTGCAAATCTCTGGCCATGAGCACCCACAGCATATGCTAGAAAGGATCCTCCATCCTCCTTAGATGTCCACAGGTACCTGTTGCTGCAAGCCCAAGTGTAGAACCTGTCTCATTAAATTTCTAAATAAGTTACCAGTGGGTCAGATTAGGTACAAGCTTGCACTTTTTTTTTCCCTTTTTTTTTTTTTTTTTTTTAAGAGGAGAAAATCCCAGAGAACAAAGTCTTGATCACTGTCAGGGCACTTCAGTTCTCAAATATAAAACGATGGTCTTGGGGAAAAATATATGTCATTGTGGGCTATTCCCCCATAGGTCTAAGTTCCTTTTAAGTTTTTTAAGGTTACATGGTAAGTCACATGGAAAGAAAACACCCATGCAGCCCAATTTTCACCACATAAGCTGACATCCACTCTTTGAAGAACAAAGCTGTGACTGACTAGCATGGAGTTTCAGGCCAAAAAGCAAATGGAAAGGGTTGAAAGGAGGAAGATGGTGAAAAGTCCCGAGAGGCAGCCATTGCCCTTCCTGCACCAAACAGCTTGTTGAGGGTAAGAGACACAGTTCTCATGGAAAGAAGGAAACACCTCGTTTGAATCATCGAGACAAAGCGATCCCATAAAAATAGAGTTCCTGAAAAGGAATCATCCAAGCAAAACTCAAAACAATTTCCACCCAGCAGAAAGACCTTGAAACACGTTTATTTATCCTTTAAAAAAATCTCAGAATCTTCTCTTTTTCCCCAAGGGGAATTTTTGGACCTTGGGGGTACAAAACTGGCTAAGTACACACTGCAGTTAGAGCCCGAGTGCAAGAAGAAATCCAAACCGAGCCTAACTGAATTGCCAAGCTAAAAGCGGTATTTGCTCCCTTAACAACTACATCTTTCCCCAAAGTTCTCCACTCAAAATGGCCATAAAGTGCGTGGATACCTTCTAGGACAGAGGCAGAGAACAGGATCATGAGGCACAGTTAAATGTACATGTTCAGTATAACCATTCTGTGAGTGAACATGGTGGAATGTCCCAAGTCATGACCTCAGCTTGACTCTTTCACTTCCCCATCCTGCCACCAGCACTCTCCCTTCCATCCGATACAGCAAAAAGGCCACAGAATCACAGCAGAGGTTGTTGGAAGTGGCTTGGGAAGGCACCTGGTTCAATCCACCTGCTCAAGCAGGGTCACCTAGAGCTGCCTGCCCAGGTCACCTTTATGCTCCTAAGCAGCAGCAGCAGCAGAGTAAGGAGAAAGTGATAATGCACCACGTGCCCGCACTTGTTACCCAACACCTTTACTTCAAGACACGTAACCAGGAATGCTAAACCCATCTTTTCCAAATCCTGTTTCAAGGCAAATTATCTGCAGAGCTGGGAGATGGAGCAGATTATTACACTGTCTTCCCTTTTCCTTCAGAAATGATGTTTTCAGGCTGTGCCCGCATGTACCATTCCACCCAGGCCCCATCGTACACGGCAACATCTGGTTTGCCACACAGGTATGCCCCCAGAGCCACATGGCACGCAGTGACCCCAGAGCCACATGTGGCCACCAGAGGCTTTAAGAGGTCCACCTTCTTCTCCTGGAACAGACTGCGGATCTGCTCAGGGGTCTTCTCTAAGCCAGACTCTGCAAGGAAATCAGTGAAGGGGATGTTCGTTGACCCAGGAACATGGCCAGGCTCAATTCCTGGAGGAAAACCAATATAGATAAGAATTAATGTCTACGGCCATTGCAAAATCCATTCTCTATTTCACAGGGAGGAATATTTGTTGCTTAGTGTATTTTGTTAAAACAAATACATTTATTTCTGTTAAACTTTGCTTTACTGGGTTACTGATTACCTAGGAAGGATGGCTCTAACCTTCAGGTTACCACACGGACACAACTCTGTCAAGGTCTGCTCTTCTGTGCAGTTCCCTTCACAAATTCCCTGCATCAGAGCAAACCACTTTGATCAGGCAATGACCAAAGCACTTCCACAGGCCCGCCTGGGGGGAAGAGTAGCATCAGTGCACAAAAACACCAATGAGGAGACCTTACTGTGGCCTTCCAGTATCTCAAGGGGGCCTACAAGAAAGCTGGTGAGGGGCTTTTTAGGATGTCGGGTAGCGATAGGACTAGAGGGAATGGATTAAAGCTAGAGATGGATCAGTTCAGAGTGGTTAGGAAGTTCTTCCCCATGAGGGTGGTGAGACACTGGCACAGGTTGCCCAGAGAGGTGATGGAAGCCCCATCCCTGCAAGTTTTCAAGGCCAGGCTGGATGGGGCTCTGGGCAACCTGGTCTAGTGGGGGATGTCCCTGCCCATGGCAGCAGGGTTGGAACTAGATGATCTTTAAGGTCCCTTCCAACCCTGACAATTCTATGATTCTACAAATACCTTTGAGATGTATGAAAACTACGTTCCTAACCCCAGCTCCTCATGAGAAAAAAAAAATACATGGCCTCCCCACTCTTGAATTTTCAAAGAGCCGCACTTGCTAGTCAAAAGGAGAGGAACACAGGTAGATATCCTGCCTCAAATCTCATCCCATAAAGGACAACTGTATGCCCTTCATTACCTCTACAGGAATCAAACTGATGGGCACCTTAAATGAAGCCCCTTTTTATTATGTCAGTGTCTCAGGAGGCACATTACCATCGCGGGGCTCTGGCTCTACTCCCCGGAATCGTCCTGCAGCGCGCGCATCCACTAGCTGGAAGCGGTGGGAATCCAAGTTATCTAAGACGTCCTCGTATGTTTTCAC